GAAGGCTAAACTACAAGTTCTGATCCAAACTGCTGCTGGTCCTGTTGAACCCATGGGGCTAGCTGATGTACTGATGGTGGGCGTGGACGATCAGGAGTTCATAGTCGGGAATGATTTGTTGGTGATGCTGGGTATCGACGACGATAGACAGCTCGGACAAATGGCCATCCACAATGTCGATGACATGTCGGGTGATCCAATGGAGCTCAAAGCCGATGACATGGCCATAAATCTTAATGAAGTCCCACCCAAAGATGATGCCATTTTCGTTGCTGTTGAGAGACTGATAGGTCGTGCTGTGGGGAATGGATTTCCTTTGGATCGTGTGGATCAATAGAGGACCATCGTGCATGCGTATGATGCAAGGCGTCTGGAGCTTCGCGGTGACCCACCTGCGAGTGTACCTCCAATGGAAATTCGCTTGAGAACCGGGGCTCGTCCAACAAAATGTAAGTCCAGCAAGTACCCACCACATCCGGAAGTCTTTACGTGAATTTAACACGCGTCTTCTTGCACTAGGACTGGTTTAGGAAAACCCTGAGAGTCGATGGGCGAGTCCTGTGCTGCCGGTGAAGAAGAGCGCGGATCTAATGGACCTTCGTCAAACAACCGACTATCGAGTGCTGAGCGACCAAACTGAAGTAATGGCTGCGGTGATGCCTTTTCGTGATGTAGTCATGGAACATGCACGTGGAATGAAGCATTTTGGCCTTTTCGATTTCCTTATAAGGTTTTGGCAGTTGCCACTTGCTGAAATTTGACAGGAGTTCCTGTCTTACACGACAGACGAGAAGATTTTCACGCCCCGCCGTGTTCCTCAGGGCAGTAGCGATGCAGCTATATTTATTCAGAAGACTATGGAGACGTGCATTGCAAGCCTGTTGGCCGAGCATCTCCTAATCTGGATTGATGATCTGTTGCTGTACGCCGCTGACATGGATACATACATGGCTAAGCTGGCTGAATTCTTCGCGTCCAGTTTGCCTCAAGCTGAGCGCCAAAACGTCAAGCCTGTACCAGACTGAAGTGAAGTGGTGAGGACGCGTTCTGGATCACCAAGGTGCTCGACATGACCATCAACGCATCGATTATTTACGACAGATCTCGTATCCTAAGACAGCAGGCGAGCTCCAACATTTTATTTGCGCCATTAACTGGATGAGTGAGAGTATTATCGACTACGCACGACAAGTTTCACCACTTCAGAAGTGCCTGGACGCTGCGATTGCTGGTACCAAGCGTACTCGTCGTGCTGCAGCTGGAATTAACGGAAGAAGAACGCACAGCGTTTGATAACGTGAAGGAGCTGCTGGCTACGAAGAATGCACAGCGTTTGATAACGTAAATGGGCTGCTGGCTACGCGTGCTACACTCGATTTACCGGACGACTCACCAACTACCTGTTTGTTTACCGATGCGTCGGATATCGGTTGGGCTTTGATCGTGACCCAGGTGGTGGGTTTCAACTCGAGGTTACCACCCACTGAACAACAGCACCGACCCCTCCACTGTATGAGCGGGACTTTCACTGAGCGTCAGCTGAACGGAACGGTGACGGAGAAAGAGGCACTACCTATTGTGACCGCACGTGAGAAGCTGGACTATCGCCCGAAATCTTTCCGAATGTACTGCGACCACAGAAGCCTCGTCCACGTCTTTACCACACACCAGAATGTGAAGAAGCATGTAAAGGGCAAGCTGTTGAGATGGTCAATGAAACGTTTGAACAAGCGATACGTCGTAGAGCATGTGTCGGGTCCGGATAATGTTTGGGCCGACATGATTTCTCGATGGGCTGGCCACCATATAATGGCTAAGGTGAAAAGCCTCAGAATAGCCCAAGAGCGACCAACAGCACCACATGTGGTCTCGGAAGCATTACCAGTGAGGACATTGCTTCAACCATTGGATGACGACATTTTCGTTTGGCCCAGTGTGGCGGAGCTAGCTGATGTCCAAGCAAACTTGACGCCTTCTGGTGGTGCTGTGAGTGCAGATAATGGCCTCCGGACTATTGACGGACGTATTTGGGTGCCGCATGAAGCTACCTATATGTACTGCCTATTTTTATTGTGCGCATTGTGGTGCTCAGATCCATCGAGGTTAGAAGGCGATGACAACACATTTGACTCGGATTTTTGTCATCGACAACATCGCGCGCATTGTCCGGCCTTTTGTACAGCAGTGTCTGTTGTGTTGGCACTCTCGAGGGGGGAAAAGTATCCCACGACCTTGGGGTGAAGTGATCGATTGTAAAACTCGGAATGGATTGCTGCATTTCGATTATCTCTACATGGGTAGCAGTTTTGGGAGCAGCAAGTACATCCTGGTCCTCAAAGATCACGCTACTCACTATTGTGAGCTGGTAGTTGCAGACACAGCCGACAGCAGAGATGCAGTGGAGACACTTCTCGATTGGTACTCGAGATTTGGTTTACCACCTGAGTGGGTGTCTGACTGCGTTACGCATTCTAAGAACGAGATTGTTGCAGAGCTAGCCGTCGCCTCCACACGCTACAGAAGCTCACGCTTGCGCACTCACCTTGGATAAACGAATCCATGGAGACAGTTAATAGTGACATCTCAAGTTGTTTGGGCGATGATCTTGGAAGTCAAGATCGGCTACAAGGACTGGGTCAATTTGGTGCCAATAATTCAGGCAAACTTGACCCACACAGCAGTCCCTTCTCTAGCTAATCGTGCCCCAGTGGAGCTGTTCACGGGTTTGGAGTGCCCGACACCATTGCGTGAGCTCTATCTACCGGATCACCATGAGCTACATACAGACTATTTCTGACTGCGAACGAATTGGTAAGATTGTCGCAGAGCTGCGCTCCAGCGTGCTAGCGATGCACAATTCTGTGGAGGATCAGCGACAGAAGCAGATAATTCTGAATAAGAAGAAAAAACGAGGACAGAACCTCGTTAATTTCTCTGAAGGTGATTTCGTCTTGAGGTCACGTGTGGATGAAAAACATAAGAACAAGCTGCAGATGACATGGGTGGGACCTTATCGAGTAGTACCTGTCGACATGCACTCTTTTTGCGTCCAGCCCCTGGACACTGGTGATGTGCTTGACGTTCATGGCTCTCGATAAAAATTCTACGCTGATAGCAACCTCGATGTCACTGAGGAGTTGTTGGAGCATGTTGTTTCGTACGGGATTTTGCTAGCGGTGAATGAACTCAAAGCGCATCTGTGGAATGAAGAAATCGAAGCCTTAGAAGTGTTAGTGAGCTGGAAGGGATTAGAGACCATCGAGGATTCGTACGAGTCGCTGAAGAGCCTGGCGACCGATATCGGTGTGCTACTAGGCAACTATGTAGCTACAGCTGGAGAACTTCGACTATCTGACTATTGGAAACAGCTGGCTGGAGGAGGTGAGCAGCGAACCAGTATTGCAACTACAAAAAAACATTCTGCCAATGAACCGAGGCTGGCTTCAAGCAGAAGGTGGCAGTCAAAGCGCCAGATATCTGGTGGAAAGCGCCGACGCCAAACTGCCCGGGGTGCTGTTAGCAGTGCTTCTCAGCAGAACGAAGGTGTAGACAATGATGGGACTGGAGCCGAACGTTCAAGTACTCGACGACGAGTCCGGCGATCCCCAGATGATAATAACTTGCCACTAAGCCGCCGGACAGGGGTAGTTACCGCTGTTGCGGATGCGCAAAGTGCCCAGACCAAGGAGATGACACAAGGGATTCCTAACGAGCAGCAGCATCAACTACGACGTTCCAGTCGGAAACGCAAGACGCGTAAGACTGCGACTGCGTAACTTCGCCAATGTGAAGTAACTAAAGGTCAACGATGCCGAAGCATGAAGCGTCGCACGCGTTCCGAAGGAAGGTGTGGGAAACCAAGCTTTAGGGGCAGTGTAGTGGATCCTAAACTTTAAAGCTTGGCTCCAGCTTGCAATGGCCGCGCACTTTCCAAACTGACATCACAGACTGTGTCCTACAGCCTCAGCTGAGGGAACTGCATCTACTACATGTAATGGCTGGTCAAGCGGTCAGTGCGTGACTTGGCTTGCACTTGGAACTTGTATGTCTAGCTACATGTGTCCTTATGTATGAATGCTTGGCGAGCAGCAGCTTCTAGAAGCTCTGTTCAGAAGTGTTTAACCTCTTTGAGTTGAGGTTCGTTGCCTCCGCTCACACTTCAATTTCTGATCAATACATTAGGCAAAAGTACCTGCGGGTTTGCCCCCGCACTGCGTTGCGCTGACAACTTTAAATTTCGACCCGGGAAATACTAAATGAGTCCGTAATTTTAACGGTAAATCATCTTGTCAATGACGAGTACTGTGAAATTAACTCCACGGAATCAGCTGAAGACGATAGTTTCGTGACTGATTCCATTCGACTAATGGATGCATCAGGAACGTTTTTTCGAGAGCAAGCTTTAAAATTTAAACTTATGGGGTAGATCATCGGAAGGATAAAGCAAGGTGATTCAGTAAAGAATTTCGTACTCAATGACATATTGGAGCCGCCTAGGACCAGAATCGGCTTTACTTAGGAAACAATGCATATCTTGTACTTTGGAGCAAATATGTGCTGTTGGGAGCTTCATAAAATGCCGCATTTACCGCAAAAAGGAGGGGGTCTTAGCGGAATTGGTGGAGCGAGCACGCTTATAGATATTCATGGCTCGCAAGAGTCGTTTCACTCGTTTATTTGCTTCAATTATTCCTTGTTTATTTAAGAAGCATGACGGAGCTCTCCAATTTTTTATTGGAAATGTACGTTATTTTTCGTGCAAAAGTACTACAGTACTACGTATAACGTACTGCTACAAGTATTTCTTCTTAAAGCATACATACCGCGCTGACTTGTATGCTATCCAAAGTGTTCTGGTATCATAAGTGAAGTTTTTACTGAGCTAATCAGCTGTTAATTCACCACTTTTGTACATAAGTGAAGTTTATACTGAACTAATCAGCTGTTAATTCACCACTTTTGTACACCTGCAAGGCAGTATTCTCCCCCGGCGTCTGAGGCTACTTCGTCACCTCCTTAACGACGCTTGAGGGCTTCTCTTTCATTTTCTCCAGCTTCGCCTTCTTAGCCGCCGCAATCAGTTTGCTTATGTCTTTATCCGCCGGCCTCTTGAAGATTTTGTTACTACTCTGGACTATGACTCTCACAACATCTTCGCCCCGGCCGCCCCGGGCGACTTCTTTGCCTGCGACCCGAAGGGATCTTTTGGCAGAAGTGTCTGATAAGAGCCGGGTCTCGTCAAGATTCGGGAGCGCTGCAGAAGCGCTGCTGCGACACAAAATCGCAAAGGCAAGAGCCACGTAGAATATACTGCGCATGACTTCAAAGAGGAATACCACGGCAAAGAAGGTCTTCTGGTCTTGCGAGGAAAACGAGAAATGGCTGAAGCATTCTTATCAGTAATACGTACAGGCTGAACCGGTGGGCGATGTACCTACCTGCAACTCCCCAGTACCGGTACTGATGCTATTCATGGCATTGTTACCCAGAGAAAGATGTTACATGTATACTTTACCGTATACGAGATCCCCTACTTCAGAGAGATCTCCAAATTCATACTGTAGAAAAGGTGCTGAAGTGATATTGACAAACATTTTCAATACAAAACAAGATTACGGCTTAGTATCCAGCAACAAAATCAAGAACAGGCCACACAGCTCTACAACTTCAAAAATTTGATGTCTGAAGTAGGAGATCTGGTATACGGTAAGTACATGTGTACTTAAGTACTGAACACAGAGCTGTTATCCTTCGTTTGCTCAGTTAAATCATATTGGTTCTCCAAGCCGTAATACGTATTCTTTTATTAGCAAAAAAGCTCACTTATTCCACAATGCAATATGAAGAGACATCAACTGGATGATCAGGGATGTGTAAAGTGTACGGACCGGTAGCCGGTACATGAACCAGACACCAGCTTGATGATCAGGGATGTGTAGAAGTCTACCGACCGGGATAACCTGTCGGTAGAGGTGTAAATGTTTGCTAGAAAGGCGAACTGAACCGATACCGATACCGATGCTGTGCTGTTGAGTGGGCACCGTCGTATATAAAACAGCCATGAGTTATTTGATGATTTTGCATTTCGCCGTCCAAATTTTTTTCTTACATATCTCCGACCAAAATGTTTCAAGCGACATGATAGTGCTAGTGTTGCACGGGAGTTGCCTGAGTTTATTGATGAATGGAAATACATGAAGAGCGCAGTTCTGGATGCTTATAAGCTAAATTGGAGTAGGTGCATAAATCCATAGAAAGTCGTTTTAGAAAATTTGGAAGAAATATGAAACAAGCCGTATCAAATCGGTCGTTGTTCGTTATAAGCAGACGAGGAAAGTATTGGTTCCGTTCAGTTGGTGAAAGTTTCTGTCCGTCCGTCTATACGGTATTCGGTAAAACCCAACCCCCTGGTTTACGACCAATCGCCAACTGTCTTATACTGTACATGTACAAGCCAATGTATTCCTATGTTAAGTATACAGTCAATATGACGTGTGGAGGTTGACGATTTGCTACGTTTATTGAAACCGTAATCCTCCGGATCTTTGAAATAAATTTTTCAGGAACGTGCCTCAATCATAATACTAAATCTTAATTGTTGTTAAAAACGGTTGGAGTTCGGTATCGTAAATCACCGTCAGGTTATGGACCAGAGCTGCATAAAGTCCAGAGCAAGGTGTGGACTTAAGCTTTTTATCGTACTGTATTAATAGGATGGCGCTCACCCGGACTCCGGGCACTACTAAAATGGGGTATCGATGAGATAACTAGCGTTGAGCCTTTACGTAAATTGTAATGCTTTTACATTGTTCGTGTACTCGTGTTTTGTATCCATGCAAATGATAAGGCGAATAGTTTTATATATTTGATCGAATAGCATCCATTCGACCCAAATCCCTTCTAACGATCTTAATTTGAAGTTCCAAAGCCTTTGAGGAGATCGATGGAATGGTAACATTGAAATGCGTTTTAAATGTATATAGGAGTCCGTGTCTCCCGCTACAGGTTCTACTCATCGAAGGCCAGCATACGACCAGCGGTGAACACCGCGTTACGTAAATCTCAGACGCCTTTAAAATGGCGGTGAAAACGGTAGCCATTTGGAGACCCATTGTGCTGCTTTTTACTTTGGAGCTGGATAAAGGGCAAGGGTGTAAAAGGAGGGATTATGTAGCCTCTCTGCTCATGCGAAACGGAGTTTAATGAAACCGTGCTAGTGCTTTAAAAATGTAAGCGCTTCAGAGATTGGCTTGAGCATGACCTAACTAGCTAAACTCAGAGGCGTGTTGGTGCTCCCTTGGTCTTGCCGGGCGCTAATTTGATGATAATGTTGCCACCTCGGCTGCTGACTTCCAGGATAGCACAATTCTCCAAATACGATGTATCTCCTACATACAACTTTGACGCTATTGCCACAAATTGTGGCTCACAATCGGTGGCTCTCGGCAATGCCGAGTAGGCCTATTGTACTCTTGCCATCCGATTTGAGCCCTTAGCACCAAATTTCAGAGCTCATCCCGGGTAGCCTAGCACGGTTTTGAAATATAATTATAATGGTTCGAGCTCGAATTCCTAACGAACACCTGGGATTTCTGATTCTACAGTGCGATAGATACTTCAGGCGCGCTGCCAAACCAGAATTGAATTGCATCACGCTATAGGGCAATCAAGGTCACAGCGGTAAGCCACCACAGAGCAGCTAGAGAACACGTATTGGCTGAAACGTTGCATAGAATCTTGGTTGAAATTGCTAAAAGCATTAGCTCTGAGTCTATAACGGCTTATGCGTCTGGTCCTGTGATTTCGGAAGACCTGCAGATGGCTGGTTCCTTGTGAAAAAATAACCACTACCCAACTCACAGAAGAATAACGAGACGGGTGGTTGAACAGCATCCAAGAGTTATATTTTCAACGCGGAATACATGGTCGTAGGCGATGACAACCTCCACGACTGTTTTCTGAACAGTAATCGACTCAAGAACAACAAAACCTCTCTCGGAGGTATAATCAAGATTCAGAGGAGGTTGAAAATATGCAGCTTCGCTACCTATAGATTCACGGCGTGAAAATGCTAATGCAAATTCCGTTCGTAAACGACTGTGACAATCCCTCGTGCGAGATCAAAACGATTCACAGAATCTTTAAGTGCGACTGTAAGCAATTCTATTAAACGGGCTGGATCCGTGCGTATTTATTGACATGTCTATACCTAGTAGACACGTTAGCTTTACATGTCATTCTACGAAGCCTACCGGCTCAAACGGTATAGGGAGACCTCGAAAAGAAAGAAGGTGCCTGGATCGTGACAGACCTCGAAAGGCGCAGTATGCGATAGACTCGCTGACCAAGCGCTTAGTAAATAGGCCTGCTGATGATCTCAAAGTCTTCTACTAGCGACAATGCATAAGAAAGAGCTTAATCACGTTCGGAAATTAAGCCGCCTTTCACGAGAGGCGGTAAACGGTACCTGGAACACCGAATACGAGGAGTACAATGATGCCAGCACTTTGGGGATTGAAGAGCTGGCAAAAGTGATTATCTACTCGTACCAAATGGAACACAACATTGCCTTCAGCTAGAAGTACACTACGATGGAGATCTGCAGTCGCGTGTATTTTCCATATTTCGTCTAAAAATGACTAGCAGAAAACTAAATAATCAAATACAGTAAAACCTTGCATGGAAACACTGCGCATTTCAAGCTACATACAATTAGGCCCCTCGATATACAATTAATCCGACATATGGAAAAAGCCACAATGTTATAGAAAGAATCCGAATTGACACGACATAGAAAATAGCCAAAAAATATTATAAGAAATTCTCCCCCGAGCAATTACTTTAAGATATATCTTCTTAGTTCAGCATCATGGCACATCAAAATGTCAATATTCACGAGCAATAGGGTGGACGTTGCTTAATTTGCTAATCTCTTTCTCTCCAATATGTAAGGCATTGCTTCAGCAGCATTTCACTGACCATTGGCGATGAAAGTGCATCATTGTGTAAATCTCAATAAAGCAACTGAAATTCCTCATTGTTAATTCACTTGGGTCGGACAAAAGATTCGTAACGCCTCTCAATCAGAGGGCGAGAGGGGGAGAGGGGGTAATTTAATGGCGGCGCCAAATAAAATCCATTTATATCGCGTTTATAGTAGGTGCCTGGATTAACGTTGCAGGATGAGGATGAACAGAGAATTTGGTTTCGTTGGTATCGTTAATTTGCAGGTGATGATACTCGAAAGGCCACGATCATTCTGTGCGGTCAAGCAAATACATGATGTGAGGGCTCCACATGCTATTTAACCGATGTCTGCGCATTAACAGGGCAAATGTTTGTGACGAGGACTCGTATCACTAACATTCTTGATATCTGCGTACCTCTCCCGCCCGGAAAGGTCCGGGTATCCAATACCGATTTCACTGGTGTTTACCTTTTGAAATTTTAGTAATGTTGTGAAATCTCACCAACGAGTCAATAGAAATATATGCATGTTAGTAAGAAAGACCTTAAAAATAAACTACAAGTGCAAATATTCATCGAGTTAACATGTAAATTGGTGCGATGCACCGCCTGAAATGCACTAAATTGACAATTAATTTTATGTAAATTTTCACAGGTGCACGTACAGTTGACGCAGTTCCTCACCAAGGTTTAAAATGTATTTCTACTTGAAGTAATTGCGTAAACCATTGTATAGCGTTTCTTGTAAAATAAATTAAATAATGTAAATTTCGGTATATTTTAATATACCGAAATTTACAAGTATAGCCCTTTCTTGAGGTCGCAGCTGCAGACTCTCTAGCTGCATGGGCTACCTTGCCCACCTCTTAGACTTAGTCGCCTTATCTTTCGCTTTTTTGGCCGCCTCAAGGAGTTTGCTTACCTTGATATCCGGCTTTTTGACGATCTTGTTAGTAGTATGGGCTATGGTTTTCCAGACACCACCGTATCCGTCTCCCCGGCCGCTCTGGATAACTTCTTGGGCCTCGACCCGAAGCGATCTTCTGGCCACAACATCAGGAGATGCCTTCGACAAAAGACGAGACTCGTCTGGGTTCGGGAATGCTGCGATGGCGCTGCCCCGAGCTAAACTGCAAAGGCAAGAACAGCGTAGAGAAAACTGCGCATGGCTGTAAAGGGGGGGGCTTAAAAGAAGGGTCTTCTGGGCTTGGGAGGAAAACGCGAAGTAAGCTTCGGCCGTTTTGCAATTCGTTCCAGACTGAACCGTTGGACGGTGTCTCTCTAAGAAAGTCTCTCAGTAGTGGTAACATTTTTTTGCGCTAGACTTAGATAAAAGGCAAGGTCTCATTGGCAATGCAATGCGTCGTTGCATATGGTAACCCCGACGGGACGTTCTCCAAAGCTGCAACGCTCAGCGTAGTACGTAGAGAAACGTTTGTTGATGCGTTGAGCACTGTAGAAGTACGGTACAGACGATCCTTTCTGTATTAATATCCTTAATAGTACCCTTCAAATAAAGAGTGTGCCTGTTTACAAACTTAGGATAAGTGGCACCTATCCTCTCATTTGATATGAAAATGACGGGTATTGTTATTAATAGGTGATTAACTATTAATTATATCCGCTCCGTAAAGTCGATTGACATTTGCTGTTTGCTCCTTGATTTTCCCGCAATAAGAGGTAGCAAACGCTCAGATCCATCCACATTGCATGTAAATGCAAAAGTGAAGCGTTTATTTTAATAATTTTAGCTGGCCCACCTGATTCGAGAAAGCGGACCGAACGGTGCGAGTTAGAGCTTCAAATGGAATGGCTTCGAGTAGGTATTGATGCTTCATGATTTTTTTAATCATTGTTTGTGATAAAGCGCGCTGTAGCAGAAACACGTTTTAAACACCACAGCGCAAGCTGGACCTGCCTCGATATTGGATTTCGGCTTTATGGCGGCAGATCTGCCGTCGCGTTAGCCTGCTTTGCGGCGTATAGTGGGCGAAGGTGTACGCGGTATAGCAGTACTGGGCGGGGAATTAATAAACGACAATGCTAGTCGCCAAATATCAAGCCACTTTGCGGTTAACGAACGCAACGACGGCCCCTCGGTGTCGGGTTACGTGATATTGGGGACAGCTCTTTATAGTGATTCCTCCATATAATAATAGAACCCCCGACGCTATCAATATAGAGAGGATCGGCTGTAAAGTATTGAGTTCCATCTCCATTTAATAATACTGTCTCGTCTCGCTACTATGGAAGCTCCACCGGAACAGACCCTGTCTTATCCTGTACAGTAAATGTAGTACCGTACCAAACATAAAATCTACTTCAAAGTAATATTCAAGCCGAGCATGCGGTTTTTTTAGCACGTGTGGCGGCACTCGACTGAGAATTAACGTGTTTGTACCGGTATTAAATCCGAGATAATTGCTGCAATCCAAAGCTAGAGAGATGCGCGTAATAAATAAGGAAAATATAAGTGGCTTCCTAAAATTGGACACTCATAAATCAGCGCCCAAACTAGTGCTGGGGTTGTATATTTATAAAAAATCAGGGGAACTTATAATTTCATTTAAATTATCCATATTGCGTCAGGGATCCGGAAACGTTTTGGACAAATGCATTTGTATTTAAAAGTAAAATTATTCATTACTATCCCGATAATAAAATAGTATATTCTTTGCCATACTTTGTATGCTTGGCAGCACTGATGAGGTATCTGCTGGTGTATTTCCGGTCCTCTGTCTTGTGGTACGTAGTAGAAGCTTTAAGCTGATTGTTAAACATTACACTGTTGAAGTCTGCACCACGTCACAGGATTGTGTGGTACACATAAAAGGCAACTTGCTGTGTCATCGAACATTCGGAGTCATTCCAATCTTCTAGAATTCGAGTGTTGCAGTAGGCAGTGCAGGAAGGATGTAGAGAGCTAGTTTAGTTTGATTCTCACTTTTCATTTTACGCTGCATCGGTAACAAGAAACTCAAGTCGTTTTTGGTTATGAGCCCAATAACGCCGTTGGAGTTTAACGACATCTTGCGAGAGGACAACTACTTCCTATGGGAATTCAACTGCCGCATGACGCTCGCGAGGAAGGACCTGCTAGAGCATGTACAAGATCTTACGGGGATGAAGCCAGCAGATGCAGCGAAGCGGGAGACTGCTGAGTGGAAAGCCGCCGACTTTAAGGCGCTGGCTGTGATCTCCAAGCTGTTGAGCCCAGTCTATCAGACGATGATTCGAGAATGTTCGTCTGCTAAAGAAGCGTGGAAGACGCTACGTGATTTTTTTGTCAAGAAGAATTTGCACAACCGAGTGATGCTTCGGAAGCAGCTGCATGAATTTCAAATGGCCCCATGATCGGATTTGCTGGATCACCTGTTAAAGTTTGACGACCTCTGTTTACGTCTATCTGCTGTTGGTGACGATTTAAGTGATGATGAGAAGTTGGTGATCCTCCTGGGGAGCTTGTCGAGTGAATATGACGCGATGGTGAAGATTATTGAGGCTCATTCGTCGGTAACGTTGATTGATGCGAAAGAGATGTTGCGTTGCGAGTTTGAGACGCTGCGGAAGCGTGACAAGCAAGATGAAGCGTTTAATGCAGTGTCGCAAGATGCACATGTTGGCAGACAAGGTAACAATGGGCGTAGTAAGTGGCCACAGTCAGGGATTCGTGGTCGTGGTCGAGGTTCCGGTGGTCGAGGTTCCGGTGGTCGAGGTTCCGGTAGTCGGGGAGCCGGTGGTCGACGTGCTGGTGGTCGTGGTGGCGACGGAAGTCAACGAGGACGTGGGGGTCGCGGAGGCTCAGGTTTCTCAGGTCAGTGTTTTGAGTGTCACCAGTATGGACACAGGCGTAGTGAATGCCCGCGACTCGCCACCACTTCTTTGAAGCCTTAGTTCCGGGTACGTACTTGGTGAGCGCGGGCCAGGATGACATCGGTCACTGTTTCGTCGTGGTGAAGACTGGTCCCAACGCTCGCCTGGTCGTGCTTGATGGGTACTCGGCTGACCACGATCCACCGATGGAAGTGTCTCCTCTCTCGAACTACCTTTGGATTGAGAGTGTAAAGTGGATTAGTCGTGTTCAGCTTCAACTTGGGTACGTGTGTCGCCACGGCAAACGCACTTCGAAGACGGCGCGTAACCGGAAGAGACGCTTGATGCAGCAGTAGCTCCAACTTGGAGGGGATGTAGTACGGGAATACATGTAGGTCTTTGAGCCCCCCCCTTAAGTTGATTTTACTTCATCTTCTCTTTCGTTTCTTGCGCCTTGCAGCCTCAAACTCTACGATTAGATCTGGGACTTGTGACAAGTTTTCAACCGGTTCCCAGGTCTGTTTCTCTTCTCCCACTCACTCCACAAGGAATTGTGTCCGTCGCTTGTGTGTCCTCTTCTTCACCAAGCGTTTGACGATCTGGCCGATACTTCCATCAGCCAGTACAACCTCGTTGGGTCGCGACAAGCGTGTCGACTAGTTGTACGGCTTCAGCGAACCCGTATTGAATACTGGGTGAAGCTTGTTGCCAGCTTGAATGTTAAGTTCGTAAGCATGGTTGTGTATCTTCCGCACAACAGAGTAAGGTCCAATCCACTTCGGACCGAACTTAGTGGATG